TGTTCATTTGATTTCCATAGTAAAATCAGAAGTAAATCAACATTTATAAAGTGATGTAAACTAATACACATTTTATATATCGATGGACGAAAAGATATTATTTTATATAGAATTAATGGTATATTTCTTCCAAAAAAAATGCTGATTTTTTTTTCCTCATTTGCATGATTTTCATCTTCTGTAATTTTCTGAAACATCAGAAGTGATAACATGAAGACAGACAAGCAAAAAGTGATTTTGATAAAATGAATTGTTTTGATTAAAATATAACATATTATAGAAGTACTAGTTATTACCCTTGAAAACCAAAGTTTTGTGGAAACAATGATAGATAGAGAGAAACTTTACTAAGAAAAATTTTCAGCAAAGTAAAACCTACAAAGATTCAACTTGGCATAAATAGTCCATTGATCTCTTATAGGAGTTATTGCACTTGAAAGACTATTTTTACCAATTTTTTTAGTTTTTCACAAAAACAATGATAGATTGAGAGTATTTTTGAAAGCAATATTATTCAACAAAGTAAGACCTATAAATACATGTAAGTCAAGTAACCAAAAATTGCCTTTAAAAGAAGTTTTTTACCAATTTTTTAGTTTTTTGGCAGAAACTGTGACAGAGAAACTTTAAATGGCATGTTTAAACGCATATTATTTAACATTAAACAGCAAAATGATCATTGATGCAAGATCTACACAAAAAATTCCAAGTGAGCGATTCAGGCTCTAATAAGCCTCTAGTTTATTTGGTGTTCTATATATGGATTGTTGGTTTTCCTTTTTGGAAAGTTTGCTATAGCAACACTATCTTAAGATATCGGCCTTAAACCGGAAGTGACAGACTATCTCAAATGTTCTGCTCCAAGATAATGTAGTACTAGTGTTTGAATACTGAATCTAGGAAGATGCTTTTGAAATTTTGAGTTACAACTCTTTTCATAAGATTGCAGCTCGAATAAAAAAAGGAATGAATGTTCACCGACAATTCAGATGAATTTAACTTCATTTTGAAAATGAGTATCACAAACACTACTTCACGGATCTGCCGTGCGCTGAAGAGAAAGAAATCTATGTGAGACAGCGTTTAATTCATGAATATTTCATGAATGAACATTTTCCCACGCTATTTTTACTACGTAGGATATTCACAAATGTGGATCAAATGTTTGTTATTAAATTAGTAAAAGCCCGAGTGTATCGAAAGAATCCGGTATGCAACATGTTTATATTTTGACCAAGCCGTCGGATAATTGACAAGTGATAATGGTTTGATTGAACAATACACAGGTGACAGAAAATTTTAAAATACTCGATAATCATATGGCTAATGTTTCACGCCAAGGATGAGTAAAGGTAAATACCGGCTTTGATAGAAAAGTGCATCGTTTTTGTCAAAACATCGATCGGAAGGTTTTGATGCAAAACATTTGAAAACTTTTAATTTCGTTATTTAAATACTTGCTGTTTCACATTCCAATGTGGATAAAAGGACCTTCACTCGTTCAGCATGCTCAAGTGGATCAAACTGACAGCAGAAAAACATTGACTCAACGACAATTCTAGTCTGAGATTACTCTGATGTCCAACGGCTGTTTTGCCAGACAAGCTGGGACCGTTCTAGAGTTATGCCCCTTTACAAATGTAAAAAATGCTGATTTTTTTCATTTCCGTTATATAACTGTAGTTTGCTCAACCAAATGTTATGAAACTTATAAACAATACTTTTAATTCCATGCTTTTCATTAGTCTTTGTAATAATGTTGTCTTGGAAGGCTTAATATTTGCATATTATTGTATCTGTTCTTTTTTTATCTTTTTCTTTTTTTTATAGTACGGTGGAAGTACTATATAATTATGTCTTACATTTCAGGGATGCAAAATGGATGAATTTGTCCCCTCCATTTCAGAGCCTGTACATTTGTATCAGAAGTTGGAATGTTCATTTTCATTCGTACAAATCCACATTTGTCAGGCATTCTGTTTTCATATTCAGATACTATACTCATGCATATGCTTCCAATTAGTGTGCAACATCAGTTGCATCAAAACAAACAAATAAAAGCCATATGAATTAGTATATATAGCACTAAAGGCCAGAATGCTTTTCTCATTAACTCCCAGTGGTCACTGAAGGAAGTGACCAATTTAAATGACTTGACCATTGGCATTGGAATTTTTATTCCTATGGGGAGGTCATTATTGACCATTAAGCTGTCATTGGCTTTTGGAGATTTTTGACATTTTCATAATTAGAGATCAGCAGGTCAGGGTCACTGTAATTTATATCAGAACAGACCTGGTTGAAGAGTAGATACTATTTCAGTAAACTTGGAATAAAAGCTAGGATAGAAACAAAAATTGGATAACCGGGTTAAATTTCAGGTCACATGGTTAAATAAAAAAATATGATGCATAAATTTGAGATGATAATTAAAAAACGTTTGTATCTGGTTTTTGGTAGGGTTTATGTTACTATGTTGTATTTATTAGGCTGTTGTTTTTCTTTTGTTCTTTTTATGCCCCTGCCGCAGCAGAGTGGGCATTAAGTTTTACCCTTGTCTGTCTGTACGTCCATCTGTATGTCCCTAAATTGGTTTCTGTTCTCTAAGTTTAGTTTGCGTAAACCAAATGTTATGAAGCTTATACAAAATGCTAATTCCCACAAAACTCAGATCAAGTTTGAATTTGGGTGGCATCACTTTTATCGTTCTTAAGTTATGTCCCTTTATAACGTTATATGCAAGCGGGAGCCTCATCTGTGTCCCATGGGCACATTCTCCATTTATTAGTCTCCTACCAACGAAGTCAAAGGGGACTTTAGGTTTGACTCTGTCTGTCTGTCCAAAACAGAATTTTGTTTCGGTCTGATGATTTTGTGCAGAGTTATGGTCCTTGGACTTAGAAAATTCATTCAAATAATCAGTTTTTCCACACTTTTTTTCATCATGCTTGAAGATATTGATTTGATAATTGGTATATAGTTTACACCATGACAAGTTATAGATCAAGTTAGCATATTGTTCCAGTACAATTAATTTTTAACCGGTAGGAGACTACATGTATGCATTGCCTTGCAATACTCTCAGAATGCTTGTTATGTTTTATTTTTTGCCATGGCGTCGTCTGTTTGTCATGGACTTTTGAGTTGGAATATCTATTTGTTCTTTGTTTTTTGCTATTGCCTAACATTGGCATTGTCAGTTTGTTTTGGACTTGTCAGTTTGTCAGTTTGTTTTGGACTTGTGAGTTTGTCAGTTTGTTTTGGACTTGTGAGTTTGTCAGTTTGTTTTGGACTTTGTGTTTGAATATCCTTTGGTATCTTCTGCCTTCTTGTTGTAAAGTATTCTAAATTTTAAAAAAATGTTCCTCAAGTGCTTTATTTTTCCATCTTTTAAATGTTTAGACTCATCAATACAATATGTATGAATTTCTGTCAAAATTAAGTTGAAAATCAACCAAAACTAATAAGCATTTGATTCCTTGAATTAGAGTTATAAATCAGGCTTTGAAAACTTTAAGCTAATAAAATACAAAGTTTGAAGTTGAAACTACATGAATGCACATACAGAACTAACCATGAATGCATTGTGAGCATGTAGTAATTTTTATACGACTTTTTGTAACACATGTTAGTTAGACACAGAACATTGAAGGGATCTGGTTAGAAATTTAAAATAGATTTTGGTTCAAGGTCAATGAACAGTATACAGACATATATATAGGTTAATTAAAAGTGCCAGATTGGCAACTTTTTCTGTTTGAAACATACCTCCAATTTCTATAAAGGAAATCAATTCTTGAACTTGCCAATATGAAATTTCTATCATATTTACATCTTTATATAGATATATATGAAATTGAATAATGGTAGTTATTTATAATGTAATTTTAATTGAACTATCTTGAAAGCAGTCCTTTAGCACATTGAATGTTTGAAATGACTTACCAGTACTTATATCATGACTCAATGTTATTGATATGCCATATGCATGTTTGTCTGTAAATAAGTGTCCCACATAGATTTATTTCCTCGTCACATCAGGATATGAAAAAAGTAAAATTAACCATATAGTATTGATAAGATTCAAAATATAACTTGTGGGTAATAGACAGATAATGATAGAATGGATCTGGCATGACCCTATATGAACTGTCTTCAGAACCATCTCTGGGAGAAAAAAAAGTTTAAATGAGGAGAATGCAAGGTCTGCTTTTAACTATCAGCTACTAGTGAGTCTTGTGAAATTGATTCAGACTATATAGCTACCTGGGCTTCTTTTGAGTAACGTTTTTGACATTCACATTTTTAATCTCCAGTCAACTTTGCAGAATTTGTATTATGATTATTAAAAGAAACAACAACATGTACATTGCACAGTGAATTGCGATAAAATAATGGTACTGTAAGTCATAACTATCATGGGAAGATATGTATTTCATACACAACCCAACTAAAAGTTTTCTGCACTGCCACTATAATTGACTATATACAAGCCTCATACAGGAAGGGAGGCATGATCTCTGTCTAGTTAAGAACAACACTGCAATTCTAATTCAGTTGCACATAATTAGTACATACGCACTTGGTTGTCTTGTATATTTTTGTTCTGTTTTAAAGAAATACCAATTATAAGATAAAATTTCATTCAAAACACTATGCACCTGGCACAAAGTTAGAAAATATAGTAGAAAAAATAATCATTTATACCATTAAATGTAATCTACACTCAAAATGTAACAGGAAAGTTCCTTCAAGTGCCCTCACACCTGCTAAAGGTCAACCACTTGTTATTTACCCCATGGTGACCCTCAGTAAAAAATAAAGATGCTCCTGCGATAGATGATGATGATTATCTGGAGTCTGTTGTGGCAGGAAGTTCTCTGATTGTTACTGTGTGTAGGCATTCTCCTGTCTGCTTCCCTTTGTGGCAGGCATCTTTTTTGTTTCTGTTTTTGGTCCTTTTCATTTTCTGCAGAATGGGAATATATTGTGTGAACAAGTTCTGTGCAGATTATGGTTAAGAGTTTGTGTTCAATGTATGTTTTTTTTCACCACAACTATTATGTATCTTGACTTTTTGTTGCATGTAGGAATTTTAATTGGATCTATTCTACTCTGTGCCAAAAAAGTCTCATCCTAAACAATTAAAGTGTGATTTGCCATTAACAAGAGGAAATCATTAGAATCAGGTAATGCACTTAGTTACTGCTCCGTTTGAAGTTTGGATGTTCAAAAGATGTGGTGAATACAGTGATGTACAACAGTGATTAGACAAAGTCTTAAGTTTGATTTTAAAGTAATCAATTTTTTAATCAGATTCATTTGGAAGGAATTAACAAAGAGTTTGATCAATTATTTTGTCAAAAACTTCATAAATTTTCATATTTTTTTTTAGTATACTACAAGTATGCAAAATTTTCAATTGAAATGGATTTTACACCGTGGAATAGCTTTTAGGTAGAATATAAATGAACAAATGTGAACAAAATAGATGATTGCATGTCAAGGGAAAATTTAGCTTGTTAGTCTGAAACACATGTCAAAAGGGACATTAATCTACAAACTTGTACAAAGGCTAGACATTTAAACCTCTAAGGAACTACATTTTAATCAGTATATGTTTTTTGATTAGTAAATGGACGTGGATAAGAGGTCTGTACTTATCAATAGTTATGAATTGCAAAGGATTAAAATTGCAAAGTCAGAATAAGTCGGGATAGAAATATTTTAAAAAGAGAAAAATAACAGCGTATTTTAACTTCTTTCCGTTGGGATAAGAAGGATTGAAATAACTTAACCAATAGGTAAAAATCATGAAGTGGAAACGATTAAAGCGTTGTGTTATGTTAAAGAATTAATTTGGGATTAACGTCAACAATCAATGGAGAAGAAGAATGGTCAAAAACTTATTAAACATGTGAAAGGACTGTTCAGTGAGAAGTGTAAATCTACAGGGAGCATAGAGTTTGTATTTCCTCCGTGCAAAAATGAGAATGCGGATATGTGTTGGATTTCAAACAGCATGGCAAATGTTCAGTTTAAAAAATTGGGTGAATCCTCAACAATGCCTAAAATAAAAAAGAAACATAAGAAAACATCTCCAGGTATGATGCATATATTTTATGACAAAAAAGTGTACATGTATTCTCTACAGATTGGGAGAAATGTTTTTGGTATCGAACATGTATTTTATACATCTATGTATATCTGAGATCTTTTTTTTTCTTTGTACTCTATATATTATTAATTGAAAGTGAAACTGCCTCTATAATCTTATGGTAGTATGCACGAGTCTTTCATTTAATTCTTTGCTATATTTAACTGGATTTGCAATTGCTGTTTTTCTGCTTAAAACCCTGAATTGATGGGGAAAACAGTAAAATCTGGTCAACATGGAATCACAATAATGTGTATAAATAAACATGTCATCCTGTAGGCTGACCATGCTTTGTGGGTTAGCACATAAAATATGGTGCAGCATTTTAGCCAAGTTCAAAGTTAGGCACCCTACTATCAGTCCAGAGAACACCTACACTTGTCTTTGATATGGATCTAATATTTGCTGCTGAACAAAAGTCGACCATCATTCAATCACATTTAACAAATGTTAGATAAAGAAAGTTTTCTGCCTGAGTGATTTAACATAAGATAATTGAACCATCATTTTTTTTTAAAAAAACCAAGAAAAAATCTTCATTACTAATTGGTTAAAATTCCAACATCCTGTGTTTATCCCACACTGTTAGAAAGATCAAACAAGACAGAAAATCCAGAGGTTTAGAAATAATAGAAACTGGAGCCAAAGCCATAATCTGTTTTTGTTGTAGTACTTCTTATATTGGGTTAATAAACAGGTCAGACAAAAATAGCTAGATATGTTTCTGTAGGGTTAACAGATGCAGCCTTGGATTAATGCACTAGGATTATACATGTAACAGTGAGGGTTAAAAGGGGAAATTAAGTATTAAAAATTGGCAATAATTTAAGTAGCTAAAGGAAAAGAAAGTGTGAAATGATCAGCCTTTTGATTGCAAATTGTTTTTTTAAAGTTTTTTTTATGAATGATCTTAAAATTTCTTCAGAAAATGTTGATTTATATATATATATATTGGGTTAATATAAAAAAGAAGATGTGGTATGATTGCCAATGAGACAACTCTCCACAAGAGACCAAATGACACAGAAATTAACAACTATAGGTCACTGTACAGTCTTCAACAATGAGCAAAGCTCATACCACACAGTCAGCTATAAAAGGCCCCTAAATGACAATGTAAAACAATTCAAACGAGAAAACTAACGGCCTAATTTATGTACAAAAAATGAAAGAAAAACAAATATGTAACACATAAACAAACGACAACCACTGAATTACAGGCTCCTGACTTGGGACAGGCACATACATACAGAATGTGGCGGGGTTAAACATGTTAGCGGGATCCCAACCCTCCCCTAACCTGGGACAGTGGTGTAACAGTACAACATAAGAACGAACTATAAAAATCAGTTGAAAGAGGCTTAACTCATCAGATGAATAAAAATACAAATACAAGAGGACAAGGCCGGGTACTTGTACATCCAAACAACAAAAAGACACTGAGTACAGATCTGAGAGTACTCACAGTTACTGACAGCTAGTTCAAAGCCACTAACAACTAATAAAAAAATTAAGACCACAGTCAGTGTTAGTCCAGCCATTTTTTTATTTATTTTATTTTTGAAAGCTATACCATCAGCATGGTTTAAGCGGTTAGGTTCTAAATACACTATAAATTGTATTAAATTGTTCATCTTATCTTTTGGTACAAGAAACTTTTGGTGTTGTAAAATCAAAAGTCAACAATAAAAAACTGCTTCTGAATGTGTTGAAAATAAACAAAGGCTAAGAAAAAAAAGACCTAATGAACTCAGCAGTCATCCATCCATCCAAACCTACACAGTGCAGCAAATGCTTTGAACTGTCAGATTTCCTTTTTTCTGCAGCTCTTTAAAAAGTGTTAAGTGGTAAATTGTATGTGCAGGTGGTAGGCTGTTGACATTTTCTATTATCTGTTATTGTGCAAAATTATCAATGAGTAAAACAGATGTTTAAACTTGCTGATTGTTGTCACTATAGACGGAAAAATAGCCATTTTTACCTTTATAATTTTGTTTGCAAAAGAGAGGAAAAGACTAATTTGAACGTTATTGTTGTAAAATCAGAAAGTAAATGTTGAATGTTGACTCTGGTCTGTTTGGTGGGATGATAAATTGTTTGCAAATTAGCCCATTAAAGTTGCATGTAAACACCACTGTGGGATTTGTGAAAGTTTTTATTATACAGGAAATTGATTTGATATGCAATTTCCATGGATGATTATATGGGACAGGCTGTATGGTTTTGATTGTTTGTGTAAACACGAACCTTAGTTTTATGATTAATAGTCCAACATTGGAAGATTATTTTCTGCTTAAAAAGGGGAATTGATCCAAGCTTTGTATTGAATAAAAAATACATGTTTCACACTATGATGCCAGTTTTGAGAGAGTTTTGAAAAAAAAGCATTTTGTCCAAGACAAACTTTTTTCAATTTCATTGCACATGTGTATATTGATGATATTGTTCAAGGGTCTCCAAGTCTGCAGAACGAAGTGATGAGTAAAATATGGTTGTCTTTTTGGTTTTATTGATTGTTAGGTAGCTGTCACATTGATGAACACCCTTCATCACCCTTATTCATAGTAATTGATGAGTTTAGTGACCTCAAAAAACGCTTGAGAATATAATCATGGTAATAATGGTTATTTTATAACCTTTTGACACACAGTGTAATTTGTCCAGATAATATATACATGTCTGTTCTCAGATTTATTGTGGTCTTTGATCCTCAAGTTAATAGTTAGTAGAGGCTTCAGGACTATTCATAAATAATATTGTGGTTTTGAAGTACTCTTTGGTGTAAACAGTAAGGGCATATATAGTCGGAATAAAAAAAATATGGAGGTTTACCCATAGGCTATGCTATCAAAATTTCCCATCTTTAAATCACCATGTGAACTCTTAATACTTGTAGCATCTTTATAACTTCTTGCTTGTTTATGACACAGAAATGATTCTTTTTTTAATTTTACATTGAGCTAGAGGAAATTTTTCTTGTCTTGAAATATTCTGAGCACAAACTACAATGTTAAAGTATATGCTTATTGTTGAAAAATTATACAGGGACTAAACTTGGTAATTTCAAGCTGGAAGCCCAGACCAGATATTTCATAATTAGTTTCTATATGTTCAACTGAAATTTACCTGAAAGTTTAGGGGCCCAGCTCAAAATCTAGGAGCCATGGGCAACTGGGCTCCCTTTTAGTTTTGTCCCTGTTATACAGCAAATAGAAAAGCTGTTTGAAATGAGGCAAAACATAAAAAAAAACTTTTAAAAGTTGTAAGCTTTTCAGATTACATACAGATATGTTTTAATTTGCTTCAGCTACATTATGAATGAACAATACTCGACTATACACTGCCAATTTGCTCAAGTATGTAAAAACCACATCTTATTCTTCAAGATGTTTTATCCTCCCAAATTATGAATTGTTCAGGAAAGATACAAGTGGAATTTGATGGTTTGCCATGTGAAAAATGTTTAGTATTTTGATAGCTATTAATTTTATGTTAGGTACATGCATCGTAAATAATTCTTTGCTTAATTTCATATTTTATTTTACGCTGATAACATTAGTTTGCCTTGCAAAATACATGTAGGTTAAGATATAAAATTCAAGGACATTGTTTCAGTAGATAATGATGCTGTCTGTCCAGGATGGGCAAGGTAAATAGATAGTTTTGAAAATGATTTTTTGTTGTTAAAAAAACTAGCTTTTTGCTAGTTCCAGGTAGAAAATGTCTTGATTATAGAACAGTTGCATTTATATGCAACATCTGCATGAAGATATATGTTAATTTTCAATTTTCTCTAACATATCTTCTTTTTTCAGAATGGCTAACCATGGCCAGGCACACAAATCGAAGTAGCCTGAGAGAAAAACTACAAGAGGAATTTCTATCCTGTAAGATATGCTTAGAGCCATTTATTAGACCAAAGGCATTACCGTGTTTGCACAGTTTCTGTGAAGCATGCCTCAAAGACTATGTTCGTAGACATCCAGGTGAACGACCAGGACATTTTCCATGCCCTATGTGTAGAAAAGACACAAAGATTCCCCCAGGTGGGATAAACGATTTTCAGGATAATTTTGTTCTGCTTAGTTTAAGTGACACTCTTGAAGAGGATGATGTAGAAACGTGGAACTTAAATCATTCTGGGAGTTTTAACCAAGGAACAAGCCACTTTTCACCTCCAAAGCCATTGGCACCTTTGACGCCACAAGAACAATATCTAAGGACATATGAGTAAGTCAATCAATTCCTTTTAATGCTTTTCATTTAGTCAAAATCATACAAGTGTCAATCAGTTCTCTTGCAAGTGGCATGGTCAGTTGTTGAAGTTTTATGAAGAGCTGTCTTAAAAACCATTTATAGTTGCAACAAAACTGATTTATAGTTGGAGGTCATGTTAAACTAAGGTAAAGTCACTAGAAGCACAAAATGAGTTAACACTTCTATAAGTTTGGTTGTAACAAATAGCATCAAAATGATCACTCTGACAGATATTTTTGTAACTTATACCGTACATATATTGAGTTGTTGTTTGAGACTTGTATTACATGTATACCAAGTTCATGGTATTGATACACTACAGATTATACATGTATACCAAGTTCATGGTATTGATACACTACAGATTATACCACACAGTCAATATTGTGTGATCTTGATAGGAGTTGGCAAATATATAGAATAGAGAATGGAAATGGGGGAATATGTCAAAGAGACAACAACACGACCAAAGAACAGAAAACAGCCCAAGGCCACCAATGGGTCTTCAAGGCAGCATTTATATCCTGCATCTGGAGGCAGGCTCCAGCTGGACCCTAAACCATGATGTATACTAGTTCAGCAAAATGACACACTTAAATGGATCAAAATTTAAAAAACACATATTATAAGTTATCTACGTTCATATCGGTAGATATGGATATTTAAACACCCTGAAGTATCCAAGTACACACTGAAGCGAAGCCAAAGGGTGTACAGGGTACTGAAGGGTGTTAAAATATCCATATTTACGGATATGAACGTAGATAACGAATTTATCCCAGTTCTTAGTCCGAATCTGGCGATTTTTAGGGAAATTTGACCACAAAGTGTTAGGTGAAAGCAAATTTTTTTTCATTATATAAAAACTTTTTATTGACATTTGGGAATTTGACCTATTTTTTACTGGGTGTAGGGTAGAACCGTACAGGTAGTCAAATATAAAACGTTTTTAATCCAGAGAGAGAAACTGGAATGAGTCTAATTTGGAGCTTAATGTTGTTAGAGGTACGTCATAGACTGTGACATGTCAATGTAGGTTATTTGCATAGCTAGGTCAGTAGTCCCATTCATTGAAAATGTGGCAGCCAAGTGATGCATTTACTTAATTAAGTGCAAATGATCGGCATAATAGGATAAAATCGTTAGTGGATTAAATATTTAATTACAGACATGATGGATAATCTACAGAATTCAATATTTCACAAGGAACAACCATGGAACTATGGAAAACGCGCATGAAGTTCCCTGGGGTAATTGGTAGCAACGTCCGGGGATATGGGTTAGCAACACCTGGGGCTATGGGTTTTTTAACGACGTGCATTAACCAATCAAAATCCTAGAAATATACTTAGCCGGGGATAAATTAATATGTTTGAATACATGTACATGTATTTCTCAATCAGATGCTTTAAATAAGAGGTGTTTTTATTGCACTGAGTAGATATATATGGCCCTTTCAAAATGTAATACTAATTGATTCAAGAGTTTCATTAGCTTTTATGTAGACTTGTACTTTTCCAATCTGTGGTATGTACTTTTTTATTATTCGATCAATACTTTACATAAAAATCTCTTTTATATTTATTTGATTTATAAGGTACCAAAATGTCCAATCAGTAGTGTATAAGCTGAGAGATAAAAGGTACATTCTCTTTTCAAAGGGCTGATAATTGTTGGCAGTTTCATTGTCCATACACTCAAATGAAAATATTTGTTCACTTATATTGTGCTTGAACAATCATTCATGTTTAGGATGTTTTAAACCAATCACATGTGTTGTATGCATTGAAAGTATTACCAAAAATGCATTAGATTTTTGTATGGTCGAAAGATGATAAGGTTTCATTTTATCACTATCCTTCCGGGGCTTGACATATAGTTTTTATCATATTCAAAACACCTCTTTCCAATGACTTTAGAATACAGAATTCACTACAGTTTATTTTACAATTGAATTAATTTGTCATAGACACTTTCTCCTTTCCCTATTTACATGAGTGACCTACATGTATGGAAACTGGCAAAGACATTTTTATTTGTCAGAATAAATCTGCTTGTTCTACTAAGTATTCATTATTATATACTCCATGGGGAGATTAGAGAGGTACTGCATAGGAATTTCTTTGTCCATCTGTCTGACAAAGTGTCATGCAAATTGGGTCAGGCTAATAACTTTTAAATGCTTTGGGTGTAAAAGAGATACTTCATGTCCTTGGTACATATTATTATACCCTACAAACAACTTAATTGCCTGCAAATGAGGTTAGAAAATCTGTCTTTAGTTCAAGGGTAAAAAACTTAGTGTGAAACCTCTTACTTTGTTTTTTTTAATACACTAGAAGTGGTGTCTGACAAGTCTTGAATAAAATTAATAATACTCAAAGTCATTGTTACCCAATAAGTAGTAGTACCAGAGGATACAAAGTAAGCAAAATGTTTTTAAAATAAGAAAAAAATTGTTAAAAAAGGCTTAATATCAAGAAATTTCTTGCCCACCCCTGTAAACATGGTAAAATACATTGTATGTTGAAATGCCATTCATATGAAATGATACCTTTTTTTTATGTCCCACTATGATTGTGGGGAGTCAACAGTAAGGTTTGAATGTGTGTGTGCAAGGTCAAGGTAACAGAATAGGTTCAAAGTTAATCCTTTGATATCAGAATGTCGAAAGTGGTGTCTACCTCAAGACCTTTAAGTGAGTATTTCATGATTTTCATGTAGCCCTTTATCAGAAGATATGTTACAAGTAACTTTGAAGTAAGAAAGGATGGTCATCATTGTTACATCACAAACATACATGTAGTTTAAAATTTACATGATATCATATATGAGATCTACAATTTTGAATGGACTGATGGAAGGTATTTATGTTTATTAGTGACTAAGAAAAGTCCTGACCTGTGTCCATCAGTCATGTATTTTGGTACATGTGTCACCTGACATCATGCATCCAGTTGGGGTAATACAAATAAGGATAATTTCTGTTGTTGTCTGTGTCAAAGTTTATAAATCCGCAACTCCTTGAAAAATGCTTTTCAATTTGATAATTATGATATTATAATTATCAAATTGAAATCAAACTCTTTCTTATAATAAAAGATTAAGGTAATTCTTTCTCTTGTAATGGTCCCAAATATAACTTTTTACATTGATAAGAAATGCTGCTTCCTGTTGATCAAACAATCGGCTGCGGTACATAGAGTTGTTAATGGTGAAGAGGAACAGGTGCCCTTTCCTTTACATAGTGTACTTATTACCTTTCCTTGTACCTGATTAACATTCCGATCTTTATCTCTGCACAGGTGTAGGTACAGTTTAATAAACAGGTAAAGGAATTTCATTGATTTCATTACTGAATAAAAGTCACACATGGTTTTATTAAGGCATTATAAATCACTTTGATTGGGTTTTGATTTGAATGATGCATGTATTATTAAATTTGTGTTGACGATTTGTGCTCTTGGAGGCAGTCAACATTTTCAATTTAATATCATTAAAATCAGAAAACAAGTACTTGCACTTGGTACAAGGACACAGTCTTTTATCCTGCAATCATCCGATTATTATACAAATAACTGGTATACTTATAAATTTTTGCTTTATTTGTTATAATAAACAAATAAGGTCTCCTGTTATCCAGCTTCTATGTGAAATGCAAATGGTAATGTAATTTAACAGTTTAGGTCACAGCTCATTTTGTTGGGATCATCACGGTTCTTTTTTAAGCCATATTGATTCAATGATCAAAGACTATGTTTGGGAATTTAAAAATCTTAACATTAATGTTGGGATATAAATAATATATGTACATTGTCAAAAGCTGTAAAATTTAATAATTATTTGTTATCTTTTCCTATTATTTAAATATATTGTACATGTATATGAATTAGAGTGAAGCTACTGATATAGGCCAGTGGTCAATTCATATGACAGCAGACCAACTAAAATCAATAAGAAAATAATCTTTGGTTTTATTCTGATTTATTCATGTGATAGGTATACATTGTACGACAAATAAAAAAAGTATGGAATTATAGCTTGTGCAGTATTCCCGAATGGAGATTCTCTTCAAACTTGTCTTTAATTTTTTATAAATGTGTGACTAGAAATTTACTGAAACAGACCTACGGCAAACTGTTTATGTCAAAAATGTGACATGAGGAAAAATGACTGTAAACAGCAAATCTAATTACCGGTTAATACCCTTACATCAAAGCAGTTACTTATTAAGGTTCATTTTAAGGCGTAAAGTTATCTGTTTATCTGAAAAAGTACAGGTAAACTGTTGCCTGAACTTTTTATTTCATAGTTGTACAGCTTAATATTGTTGAAAAAGAGAATTCTAATTTCTTTTTTTCATAACATACTAGCTAGACTTCTAACACTTCAGACTATAAGGAAAGGTCACCGAGTCTTTACTGAATAGAAAAATGTAAGGAAACAGGAAAACCTAAAATTCTGACTTTAATCACAAGTCATGTGGTTTCTTAAGTGATGAAACAGAATTGAGATTTTGTTATGCTTTACTTATGTGACAACTATCCACACTGGTCTAATGCATATATTTTGTGTGAGGGAGTTCTGTGGCATTGTAAATTACTGACAAGTGGTGTGTTCCATGGCTATAAGTTCTGATTGTTCAAGTCGTAACCAGTAAAACTTTGGACTTAATAATAATTAGCAGCAGTTTACTAGAACGTGTCAGTTCAACAAGCAGGTGTCAGTTTGTAAGTGGATATATGACCCATTCAGTCTGACTTTTTTTGTTGCCAAGAATAAAACTTCAAAAGTCAGTTTGTAATTTTCATTAGTTGTGTTCACAGAGTACACATGTAGAGTTTGTATCTTACATTGGTTGTGTTCACAGAGTACACATGTAGAGTTTGTATCTTACATTGGTTGTGTTCACAGAGTACACATGTAGAGTTTGTATCTTACATTGATTGTGTTCACAGAGTACACATGTAGAGTTTGTATCTTATATTGGTTGTGTTCACAGAGTACACATGCAGAGTTTGTATCTTACATTGGTTTTGTTAACAGAGTACACATGTAGAGTTTGTATCTTACATTGGTTGTGTTCACAGAGAACATATAGAGTTTGTCTTGTGGTTGTTTCTATCATTGGGTTGCTGCCTCATTGATTCCCATCCCCTTTTATCTATATTTCATTTGTGATGGTAATAAAATCTTTCCTGTCAGAAATTTGAAAATTGATTAATACCGATAGCAGGATGATTATTCACTAGTTATACAACATCTCTCACCTTTTTCTAATGGCTTGGCAAAGTCTTGTAGAGTTTTGTTGAATTGATAAAATGTTTGGCACACTTTAAATCAAGGAAAACATTTTGGCACCCTCTCACTGATGAGGGGATTGTTGCCAACAGCAGATGATCTTTAAGATTTTCTTGAGTGGTAGCTATAGGAAAACTTGAATTTTGTCCAGAAGAAATAAATTGAATTACAACTGGTGTTTGTTTACATTGAGAGTTGTACCACACATCTTGGTTTTAAATTGATGTTTTCTTCTGTTCATCAGCTTTTTATCTATTGGTTTACCGTTTTCAAGAAATGGTTTAAAAAGTTTAAACTGTACTTAGGATAGTTTGATTTTAAAAGTCACAGCTGTCTGTTTTATTTCATAATTCCCTATTTATCATATATCAAAGAATTTTAAAAACCCAAAAAACTAAGAGAAATATAAAGCCTTCAGATAAGTCTATGCATGAAGAAATATATAAATTGTGTATTAACATTTAAATATTAAAACAAACATAGAAATGAACAAAGATATCTGAGACAATCCAAGAATTCAAATTTCAAAAAATATTCAACTCACCAAACAACAAGCTACCTGAATTCATTAGGCATTATTGTTATTCTGTTGCTCATTCATTGCCATTTAATATTTTTAGTTTTTTTTCTTGTAAACCTGCAGATTCATGAAATGATAATCAAAGTATGATTTAAATTTGATGTTTTTTAAGAATATCTATATTTTCATTTCAGTTGGTATTTTGGCAAGGTGAGCCGGCATGCTTCAGAAGAATGGTTGTTGTCACCAGGTTATCCGAAAGGTACATTCCTTATTAGACAGGGAGAGGCTGCTCCAGGTAAGAAACTTTAATAGACAGGCAGAGTAGAACTATATGCAACTTTGCGTATCTTAGCATCTGTTTGGTAGTGTTTATTTATGGAATACACATGTCATTATATGTAACTATATAAGAATTCTTTGAGGATTGTAAATTCATTATAAGTGTAACAAACTGCATCTTCGCTAGCCAAGGGTTACGATCCAATCCCCTCCTTTCCATCCTTGGCAGATTAAGGGGGACTGAGCCATAATCCTTGGCTAGCAAAGATGAACAAACTGATATAAAATCAACTTGAACTCTGCTCACGCAACATTAAGAATTTCAAGACAAAAAAGAAAGATTGCAGCTAATCTTTAATCATAATGAAATACAGATAATTTATACTTATCTTCAGTACAGTTTCAACTGACTGAATGTTTAGGCTATATCAGAATGTTTTTAATATAATTACAGATTAGTACATGGCCTTATACAATATTGATACAGCAATCTCCTTTTGGTTATATTGGAGTCTTTGGATGTTAACCAGGAAATATGGAAAAGGCCATGTATTTGATACCTCTGATGTAGGAAAGCTATCAGCCTGATCACCCCATATCAACCCAACCATGTGACACCAGGCTAGGTTGATATGGAGGTTTTCAGCCAGGGTACTTTCAAACAGCCATTGAAAACATTTAATTTACCCTTCTGTTTTGTTGACTGCCATTCATTTCCAGTTAAATATCATATTCAGAACGTAACATAATAATTATATATATGTACATAAACTGAAGCTGTTTCTAGTAAAATTTATAGTCCACAAAAAAACAACAAAAAAACATGAGGTGGTCATTGCTTAGTAGTATGAAAATCTCACTTTTCGATGACATGCAATTTGTGTGGAGTTATTGTATTGTGCTTTCATCATGTTCATTGTAGAAAACTATGAAATATCTTTTTGTATTTGGAGTAATCATCTTATTATTAGAAGGGTTGTTGCCATATTTTCATGCACTTATTCTGTAATTTTTATGCTTAACATTTCTATGAAAATGAATGGAATTTTCTTTTTTCTTTTTCAGACACGTATACTTTATCTGTTAGAGACTGTGATGAACTTAGAGGCTTTTTAGTCAAACATTATAAAATTCATAAAGAAACCAATAATGATGGGTTACCTTGTATAGAATATTATTATATTACTCCAAAACGACGGTTCCGGTCCTTACAAGATTTAGTCACACATTATAAAGGTGAGAATTGATCAAATGCTAAAATAGCACATACTGGTATGTTATATTTTATATATACTAAAGAAAAAATAATAAAAAAGTGCCATCATTTTTCAAGGCTACATTTCAAAAAAGCAAAACCAACTGTGACAGCAATAAAAACCAAACAAAAACAAAAAAGATGTCTGAAATCATACAGAACAATCTTTGATGGTAGATCTATATCAAAATTATAAGTCTAAATGCCTGTTTAATAAATTGGGGATAAGAACGAAACAGACTATCACTTGTGTGTAAATGCAAAGAATTTTAGTTGAATGATGTAAAAATTACAGCACTGTTTCATAATTTACTATGCCAGACATGAGGAGGCAATTTTATGTCCCTATGTATCCCACCATAAGGAATTCAAAAAATCGTATATAGTTCAACTTCTTATAGAATAGACTATTTTCACATTATAATTACCGACTTTTGGATCCGGAGTTTATATATTTTCAACAGGTTACCTTCTCTGTGGTAGGACATCCTGGTACTCGGTCAAGTAAGAGCAACTTATAGAAGTAAAATGAAGCTTTTCAGTACAATTTAGGGGGAACATTAACTGTTAAATGTTTTTTATCAATGAGAAAATTTTCCAAAATCAGTAAACTTTCCCCCCAAATTGCACCGATTATATGTTTGATTTTACTTCTTTTGGTTGCTCCTACCTGACCGAGTACCAGGATGTCCTACCACAGAGTAGGTAACCTGTTGAAAAATTATAAAAATCGTAGTCAAAAGTTGGTAATATGAAAATAGTCTATTCTTTGGGGGTAAAACAACCCTTATCCATACCTTAATTTCTAAAGAGTTCTCGAATAGAATTTCATGCATGTGTAAACTTCAAATCCTTAAGCAAACAGAAAGCCGGATATTGTCAATCCTTCCTCTTCAGAGCTGAAAAAGCAGATATTTCATACTGATTTGGACAGCCAATTGGAATTCTGATTATTGAGGCCCTGCAGGGTAGTCATCAAAAATAGAAAGTTTAACCACTGCTATTCTTATTCTTTTAACATGTAGCAGGTGCATTAGACTCCAATTTTAATTGTCTAGGATTGTCAGTTTTCCTGCAGAGTATTGTGGTTCTCTCAATGCATTCCAGCTTCCTCTACTAGTAAAAACTGGTAGCTGAAAGTAGCGTTAAACACCAAAAATCAAATCAAATTTTTTAACATTAGCAATTTTAAATTTTGATTTTGTGATGGATATACATTAGAGGTTGTTCAAATGTTCAAAGTTTTTATCACTTATTTGATTCTTAATGAACCACACACAGTAACATTGCTTCATCAATCACTGCTTACAGTAGATGATTAGAGAAAAATAGAAATGACTAGACATTTGCACTTGAATATGCCACCATTGAAATCCTTGAAAATTTAAGAAAGTACATCTAGTAAGTGGGTTATTTTATAGATTGTTATTAATTATTGAAATATCAGTTTATATTGTCAGTCTTAAGGGGAAATTTATTATTTAAAAAAAATGGTCATTGGCTACAGTTAACTGGTACTTGGCAGCTTACATCATTGCTGTTTATTTGGTAACCAGGTTAATGACCTCACATGACCTAAATTATGGATGCTTATGAAGTGCTCTGTACATTAATAATGTTATTATGAAGAGATGTCTTAGGGTTAAAGAGAGGGTGGAAAGGAATTCCAGCAAATGGGGCTCAAAACAGGAAATTGTAAACTAAACCATTATACTATTGAAAACAAATGTTTTGGTCTTGTACATGTTCTTTAAAAGTTTTTAAATTGTTCCACTGTTGCAACTTTGAATTCAGGGGATACACATTTTTTATCACAGCAGATATTCGAAAGAATCTGTGTTTGCTGTTTTTATCCTTGATTGTATCTGAAATAAACAAAAATTAAGTGAGAATTTAGGATGGAGTTTTTGATTGAATGAATATCTTTAAACTTACCTCTACTGACAGTTTTGATCAAAATGAGAAACAAATACCTTTGAAAAACCATGTGTTTGCAACTTCTGCTCTTGTTTCTGCATAGAATTAAGACAGAAATTGTGAAATCTAAAAACTTATGAAAACTAAATGGAATTTTCAAGCACTAAATAAGACTATATATACATTGTTTCTTTGCAGAGTCACCTGATGGGTTGTGCTGTAAACTGTTACAAGCTTGTTTAAAGCCACGATCATTATTGTGGGCATTTGAACGAGGAAACCCTGATGAGTTCCATACTGAGAGGGAGTCTATAGTTTTAATTAAGAAACTCGGCAGTGGGCAGTTTGCTGAGGTCTGGTTAGGTAAGATAATATGATTGAAACCCTACTCCTTAAGTCAGACTTCAAAGGCTTTCATTTAGATAATTTAGTGTCCTGGATACAAATTTTCATGGTTTCAAAGGATACTTTGTTTATGGTTCTGTGATATTCTGCTGACTTTTAATGATTATATCTTTAAACAAAGTTTGGGGAAGAATCAAAGGTCTTAATGTCCAGATGTCTGTCCAGTCCAATTTTTTGTCCTTTTTCTATTTCTCTGAAAGATGTATTGAATACAAAAGATTTGTCCTGTCATCTTTATGATCAGCCATAAACTGTCTTATCAAAAAACATGCTTCTCTTCAATGTATTTCTCAAAATTCACATCCATTTTTATTCATACTTTTTTTCTTGAAATTTTAGAGAATTCAATTTAGCTTAGAGTTAAGACCTGTGTACTCCTAATTATTTTTCCCTGTCTATCTCCCACCTTGTCAAAGCATGGTTGATTTATTAATAGAATTAATAGTAGACGTGTTAGCACACTTGTGTAATGTCATATTGAGAGCAAATTTGGTCCATATATCACAATGTAAAGTATGTGAAGGATCTGGCACATAGATAAGATCTTTGTTTAAAACAAAACACTTTGTCATAGCAACTCCAGTGAAGTGCATGAAACTTAATACATTGTTGAGTTTAAGAGTTATACAAGTCTGAAATATGAAATTTAACAAAACAGTCAGATGAGATTCTTATATGTAGGCGTTGGTAGGATGATTTTTATGGAAATAATTTTTCTGAAATTGTAAATTTTTACCCATTGAAGAACCCATCCTTGTCATCAAAATTTCTCTTACAGGGTTTTATTGTAATGTATTTGATAGATTCTTGTACACAGGTGTGGATAGGATCTAGAAATGTTATTATATGTCAAGCAGCACTAGTTTAGATTATATGATTTGGGATTTGCCTTTCCTCATGAAATTCCATGGAAATTGATACAACATTCAGAAAGAACACTGTATTTTTATGCCCATGCTGCAGCAGAGGGGGCATTAAGTGTTACCCTTGTCCATCTGATAGTCCCATAATTAGTTTCCGTTCTCTAACTAAATGATATGAAACTTATACACAATACTTAAACCATAAACCATAAAACACAGATCAAGTTTGAATTTGGATGACGTCTCATTTGGATGGCGTGTCTAGTTATGCCCTTTTATTACGTTATATGCAAGCAGGGGCATCATCTGTGTCCCATGGACACATTATCCTTCTTTTTATGAGAATTAGAAATAAGCTGTTGTAAGCTTTCAGGTATCATGGTTAATTATGAAATTAAGGTTTCATATCAGTTTGATCATTTTAAATGCAAAAGTAGCCATTTTCAGTCAAATTAAATTTTTCTCTAATAAAAAATTATGTAAAATCACTAGTTGAAGTCAGTAATGCAGAGTTTGTGAAGGAAATCAGTCCAAGAGCAGGGCTGACAAAGTATATATTGACCATTCCTGGATTTTCTTGAGTTGGACAATGCTCCCCAAGATAAGGAATACTAAGAAATATTATTTTTATACCCCACTTATGATAGTAGAGGGACATTATGTTTTTTGGTCTGTGCGTCCGTTCGTCCATCCGTCTGTCCGTTCATCTGTCTGTCCCGCTTCTGTTTAAAGTTTGTGGTCAAGATAGTTTTTGATGAAGTTGAAGTCCAATCAACTTGAAACTTAGTAGTTAGTACACATGTTCCCTATGATATGATCTTTCTAATTTTAATGCCAAATTAGAGTTTTGACCCCAATTTCACGGTCCACTGTACATAGAAAATGATAGTGCAAGTAGGGCATCCGTGTACTATGGACACAATCTTGTTAAGCTTATTTTTATAGATTTCATAACTAGTCTCTAACTTCTGCCTCAAAAATATAAATGACTTGGGCCAGTTTTTCATATTGCCCAGTATTAACCAGTCAAATGCTGGTTTTCCCAGTATTCAACTGGGGTTGGCAATACTGATAATACCAGGGTTTTTTCCAACCCTGTCTGAGAATTGTAACTAGTTTAAACTAATTGTTCCAATGAAATAAAATTATGGCTGATAACATCAACAGTAAAAACTTAGTTTAACTGAATAACCTATGAACCATTTGAACCAGGAAACTGATTTTGACTGGACCAAATGTCATTATGACCAGACATCTTTCATTGAACTTTATCTGGCAATGTTTCAAAAACAGTACAATGCAATGGAAAAAAGAAAATTAATAAATTTCTAGTTATCTTTTAGAAGATAACTATGACTTTAGTTGGAAACTTCAAGAACATTGATCATATGTCAAACATTGAATAAGAGTGAAAAACAGTGTTGCTTATCTTGAAAGTGCAGACAGTCTAAATTAGTGTATATTAACTTTAATTCTATAATTTTTGTAAGAACTTTGATTGTATGTCAAACATTTAAAAAGAATGAAAAACGGTGTTGCTTATCTTGAAAGTGCAGACAGTCTAAATTAGTGTATACATGTATTTACTTTCTATAATTTTTACAGGTTCATGGCATGGTTCTCGACAAGTGGCTGTTAAAATTCAGAAGAGGGATGCCGTAACGACGTCTGCATTCTTGGATGAAAGTCAAATTTTAAAACAATTACAGCATATAAATGTGATAAAACTTTTAGCAGTGTCTAGTGAAACTGAACCAATTTATATATTAACAGAATATATGCCAAATGGACGATTATCGATGTATTTACGGGAGGGAAAGGGGAAAGATCTGTCAGTGACACAGTTGTTGTGGATTGCTGCACAGGTAATATTATAGTTATAAAATCTCAAGTCATTTAAGACCTTATCATTTATTGGAAATATGTTGAAGAACACAAGAAGAAAGTCATAAAATATTGATAAATAACCAATATAGTACAGGAATGTGACTCATATTGCTGTTCTTAATCTGATCTGTTGCTGGAAGGTTATATTAAAGTTCTAAAGTTTTTCATGCATTGCATTTCATACATTACAATCTACTGTAGACTGCAAAGTAAAAAATTCACAGAACATTTAAAAAATAACATATTCATCTAAGTTATGACATTTAGTTACTTCTTATTCATTGAAGCATTGTACTCTATTAAAATTTGGTAAATACACATAAAATATAATATTGAAAATCAATAAAAGGATGAGAGCATTAATCAAAATAGTTTTTGTTGAATTTTGAATAATTTTGGCCCATTGATAAAAGTAATTTTTTGGACAGGTTTAGCCTTTGAAATCGGAAAAATATTAACCCTACACAGTGCCTCCTTTAAAAAAGTAGACAGTATTAGAATATAATACCCAAAACGTTTGTGTTCTCTTGGTATGGAATGATTTAAAACCGAACGTTTGTTTTCATTAATTTTGTAATATAAAGCACCGACGAACCCCAACTCCAAGTAAGGAAATATTATTTTGTGAATTTGCAGATTGCTGAGGGCATGTGTTACATGGAAAAGGAAAAATTTGTACATCGGAACCTTGGTGCAAGAAATATACTTGTTGGGGAGGGTAATAATGTAAAAATAGCCGGTCTTGGAATGACTAAAGTTGTTGATGATCCTGATTTTAATTTCAGAAGAGGTAAGTCAAAGATCTCAATCTATTTCAGTAGATATTTTGTAAAATTGAGATAATAGGGCAGACTAAACCTTAATTATGAACTAAATGTTTTTAACCTTCTTTAAAACTCAAAAGTCTATAAGTTATGTAAAATTTGTTATTTATTAGATATTGGTTTTGATTTATTTTGAAATTTTCCTATTCTTAAATTGTACATCACAACATGCACTGAATGACAAAATACAATCTTTTCTCTTGATGTTACACTTGATCAGACTTATGAAGAAACAATATGAAAATATCTTATGTTTATTTTACTTGCAATTTTTATGTATGCACTTTATAATGAAATATATGAAATGTTTGTATGTTCTAGGTAGGAACACTAAATTTCATATTTCAATGCTTTTAGAATAACTAAATTATGTACTCCATAGTTTATAGTCCTTTAAGTTCTTTAAAAATTTATTGGTTAAAAGCTATCAAATCTGTGTGGAATTGTACAATTATTGATGATACATAGCTGAGACAATTTTCTTCCCCTGCAAAATTTATGTATACAGAAAAAATTGTGCTATTGATTCTTTCTGGCTATTTTGTTAAAGTTCTCTTGAAACATAACCTAATTGTTTGTAAAAGAAGAACAAATTGGGGGGTCAAAGTAGGTTTTTTTTGTTGCTATAGGCAGAAAACCCCATCAATTTTAAAATCCCATTTCCCCTTTTGTTGCTATAAAATAACTTCCCCAGTATATTCCTGTTGCAATGTCTTTATGCAGTGTTTCAAGCCATACATAATAATGTACTATGAATCATTTATTTGCTTTGCCTAAAGCTTTATCCCTGGCAGTAGATTTTGCATTCTGCCATAAACAGTATATTTGTTTTCCAATGCAACTGCTATATCCAAAATTGTAAAGCAGCAGAAGAGATTAGAGACTTGTAAATTTCAAATACTTCAGACTTTTAAAAAGGAATCATATTTACAAAGTTTGATTAACTTTGTAGGACTGAAGATGGCAATCAAGTGGATGGCACCAGAAGTACTACTGTGTAACAAATACAGTACCAAGGCTGATATATGGTCATATGGAATTGTCCTCATAGAAATCTTCACCTACGGAAAGGAACCTTATGAAGGTATATACAACGATCAAATGTAAAGAAAGATAACTCCTGCCATTATAAATTTGGTATTGTGCAGCTATTTCTTTTTGACATACTAACATTTGCTGAGAATGGAATTTACTCTTGGGAAAAGAAAGCTATATTTGATGGAAAGTGGGGGCTATATTGCAATCATGTTGTCTGTCTGTTTATCCAACAAATATATTTGTCACACTTTTCTCGGAAATTGCTATTGTCTTCATATTTGGTTTATAGCATCTTGTAAGTGATGAGTTGAAACCTCAATTTTGCAATCTGTCAAAAACCTTCTTCCTGTTTCGATACTTAAGTTCTTTTGTGACATAGTTCTTAAATACTAGTGAACAGAATGACTTCATATCTGCTAGATATATACTGTCTGTTTTCCAATGCTTTGAATTATGAGTTAGGGTATGTTTAGCAGTACATGTGTGCATTCTAGTTTTTTAACAAATATGAACAATGTCCTCTAAATGACCTGTTAGTTTCTCATTAAGACCAAAATAGGGCTAAGCTCAACAATATATTTTTAAACTTTCTTAAAGAAGGTGTTCATCTGTGTTGATATTATTGTTCAAGATTTGAAATTTATACCAAATGAAATTCTACATTAACAACATAAGCAAAGATATGTCTTGTTGGATTTTAGACATTAATGTAAAAAAAAAAATTTAAAGCCCGGAAAGAAGAAATATGATATTTAAGTCTATGCCAATACAGCTTACCTCGACCTAATACATGTGTACTTGGACATATTATACTGTACTTGGCAATAATACAGATTCAATATGAAAACCCCATTTGATAACACTATATTATAACTGAATTAACTTCATCCCAAGACTTCATTACCAAATTCTTGTTCAAACAAAATAGTATGACAAGTTTTAAGTATACAAAATTTTGTACTTTCTATCTTGCTAAAGGTTGGCAAATTAAAACATACTGGATTTATGTCAAAATAAAACAATTCAAAACAAATATGAGGACAGACAAAAGGAAGAGAGGTCTTTTCTCCTTGTGATTCTGAAGTAATGTAGCACTAAGGTGGATTTTTATGCCCCCACCGTAGGTATTGGGGGCATTAAGTGTTACCCTTGACAGTCTATCTGTCCCATTTTCGTTTCCGCACAATAAATTAAGTTTTTTTCATCCAAATTTTGTGGAACTCATACACAATACTAAGAACCAAAAATCGCAAACAAGTTCGAATTTAGGCTGTGAGTCACTTACTGTTCTAGAGTTATACCCTGTTATTACTTTGAAAATTTTTGTTTTTTTCTGCACTCCAATTTAGTTTGTCTCAAACAAATTTTATAAAACTCATACACAATGCTAAGAACCACAACATGCAGACAGAGTTTAAACTTTGGAAGTATGTCATTTGCCGTTCTAGAGTTATGCTCTTTTTAACTCGAAAAAATTAAAAAGCTTGAGCAGGGACATTTGTGTTCTCAGACTCATTCTTCTTTTATTTTTAAGTTAACAATATTACTCAATTGAAAAAAATGCAATGTTTGAATAACCCCTCTCAATGTCCATCATACAATATGTAATCATGTTAAATTTTGTGATTTACAGTGCATTTATTTGGAGGAAATGTTGATTTTTCCTTGTAACTTAACAACTATTTCTTTAATTTTGTAGGTATGGGGTCAAAGGAAGCTTTTGAACTAGTGCAGAAAGGTTATAGAATACCGAAACCAGACATTTGTCCGCGAGAGGTTTATGATGTTATATTATCATGTTGGAATTGTAATCCACCTCCACGGCCTTCATTTGACTTCTTAAACACATTTTTACACGACTATCAGCCGACATCATGACATAGGACTCTATTAATTGCTTGATACTTAGTGTTTTGGCAGGTTTTTGCTGAAATATTTTTTATGTGTTCAAAATACATAGAGGCAGGGTACATAGCCAGGAATACTGCCACAAATGTGAATATATTGGGCTATTCAAGACAGTGCTGTTGGAAAGGAATCAGAGAGCCGTAACTGTTTTTTGTTATTGGTTGTAGATGTTTGGTTAGATATGTGCTTATTTGGTGCAAAAGGCTGCCAGTGTGGGAAGAAAGACAACTTAAGTTGATACACTTGATCTTTTTTTAGAAAGAAATTTATTGGTTTTTCAGTTTTCTTCCATCTCTCTTCTTCATTAAATCAATAAATGAAATGTCTTTGATGAAATGCTCATAAGTTTAAGCAGATATGTTCATGCCTATCACATAATGTAAAACATTCAGTCATGCATTCTACTGTGAAAAAAAAACAACCCAAACAATTAGTTAAAAAAATACATTTAAATTGATGTAAGAGTTTGGTATTCAAATATATTAAAGCATACTTTTATTATATGGAAAGCTTTGTTTTGTTATTTAAAAAAATGTTGGAAAATTTTAGTAGTGTTATACTAAAATTAATTCTCTTTTTTTTGTGTACTCAATAGAACCTTAAAATATTGCTGCAAGGGAAAAGTTTGTGTTCGGTTTATATAACAGAGTGATACGTACCTAGGAAAAACATCATCATGGAAAGTAATCTTAATCTGCAGCTTTGCCTAGCCCAGTTGCATTCACCTCTACAGAAAAATGACTTTTAAGGCTCCTATTTTTTATTATCACATTGAATTCTATGGTTTCTTATAGCAAAAAAAGAAACACATGAGAATGCCTTATTTATGTAAGACTTATACCAGAGTTTGAGGTTTTTATGGTAAATTCTTCTTTACCCACTTTTACTTTTGAAACTTAAAGGTTAGTCCATCTTTTTTTCTCTCACCTATATCAGTCCTGTGGTTGCTTTTAAAATAAGGGTTGGATACTGGAAATAAACTTTTTTTATGTTTCCATAGCATGGGCATTGAAAACAAAGTATTGTTTCAATTGATTTTTTTTTGGGTGTGCTAATGGATATTATTGATTAATAAATTAATTTTCAAAAGTAACAATATGAAAGAAAATCTTTTTCCCTTGGTATGATCAATTATTTACGTGTGCAATGTATATAGATTGTAAAGAAGTGATAAGAGAATGTTCTACAGGCAGCAGTTACAAAACTTATATAATGGAGTATGTGTTTAATATATACAAGTGCTGTTTTTTTCTTTGGATGAATTTGTTTAATTAGTATTATCTGATTTTTGATTTATCAATATTTTTCTCAGATCCATATGTTTTAATTATGTATGTTTATGGGGTTAAAAAAGCTGTGTAATTATTTACTGTCTTTTTGATCATGCATGCAGTAATGCTGAAAATGAAAATCAATATTTATGTTTTGCATGACGAGGGATATTCTGTAAATAATGATATTGGGTGTCAAAAGGCATCCCCTATAAAATTTTATGGGTAGTAGGAACTTTGCCCACCATAGAATCTGTTAGAAATCACAAGGTGTTGAATCAAAGAAAAAGATCCTTTTGACTCCCAAATTTATTCATTTCTGGATAAGCCCTGAAATAAATGTTATTTTGATAAATGAATCATGTTTAAATTAAAGCATCACATGAATTTAATATTGATACTTAATATTGGTACATTTGTATATGTGTTAATGAGCATACAAACTTGTATTTTATTCTCAGTCAAACAGCCAGTCAATTTTAGACAAATTTTCTCTTGGTCTTATCAATTATTTACTTGTTCAATGTATAGATGCAAAACAAGTGAATTGTATAGGCTCATGTAGCTATAAATAGAGTCACAAGGGACACCGCTGTATGAAATGACCTATCAATTAGGGGTTACATCAACTAGCTTGTACATAAAGAGATCAAAATTAAATATTCATAAATGATCATAGTTATGATGTTGTTTGAAATAAGAAAATTAAAACATCCCATTTATGACTTGATCTTTGAAGTTTGTTTCATGTATTCAAATTTAAGAGCATGAAACATAAAGTTTCTGAATTGTGAAGCATTTGGGAATTTAAAAATTTCTATTTCTGATTTAAGAAAAGTGTTCCTGGTCTACAGTCCATTGATAACTAAGACAAATACCTATATAGCATTGTTTTTATATCTGTAAAGTATATTTTGTAATTTTTCAAACTAGTTTTAAGGATTACAGGCAAAAATATTTTATTCTATCATTTTTCAATTTCATTAAGAACATTTCCTTGAAATGTACAGTCTTTGAATTTTGAAGGTGCAACTATATTAAAGAAAAATACCCAAATTATTCATTCAAATTCTGTCTTAATTCTGTTTGGCTTGTGTAGAAAATTTTAACTGTGACAAAGATTTTTCTTGGTAAAATGCTCTTAAAAAACCCAACTGACTGGTTTCAGTACAAGTTTTATGACTTATCATTTTGTTATACTCACTGTAAACTGTTGCGGTGTATTCTTGCAATTTCAAAGGCCAAACCCTTTTGCAAGATTATATTTTACATTTTTGTTGTTTTTGATTGCAATCTATCTTAAGATTAAGTTTATGGGGGGTTGTCAGTTATTTTTCATGATTTTATAATAATTGCAAAATTAGCAAAAATAAACCCCTCATGTAAATTTTCCACTTTACAATAACGGACAATTTAAAATGTATAGATGTTCTAAAAAAAGTAACATTTGAGCCATTGAGGTACTATATGCATATAAATTGTTAAAGGTGTTTCGTGTCTAGACCATACTTAAAAATTTAATTATATGTTCCCCTTAAGAGCCCAATATAATTTTTTCACGAATCAATTCTTGGTTAGAAAATATAACAGGGAACAGAAATAATGAATAAAATATGAGAATATTTTATGTATAATTTACCTATTATATTATGTCATTTTCGTTTTTGGTAATTGTATATTTCATTCAAAAAATAAAAAATATACAATGCAGCTTTCAGGATGATATAATATGGTATACATTTAACAATTGTTCTGTCTGTTATTGAGGATGATATATTATATGGTATACATTTAGCAATTGTTCTGTCTGTTAATGAAACACAATAATTAGACTTCCTTGTCTACTGGTGTTTCAACTTGAGTGCTTATTGTGACGTCATAGTTTTGGTTTCGGTATGTAAATTCTGAATTTGTTTAATTTTAAAGTTACTAACAGAAGGCAATCCGTGTTGAGAATATGGATTTACTTTATTTCAAAATAAAATATTTGGTTAAAGGGGCAAATTGAATGATTAATTGTAAAACTTTTTAATTTAAAATAAAAAGATTTTAGCAGTAAATTTACAAAAAACAGTTTACATTTAGGCAAAGGAAAAAATGTGTAGGCCCTCATGGAGTTTTCTGTTCCTTTTCTGAACTACAGATTGGATTGGTGGATATTGTGGTATATAAACAGGGAACAGGTTTTGATATTCAGACTTTACTTACTTTTCATTGTTTTGAAATTTATTGTGTTATAGAAGCTTGTATTACCTGTTTTTATGGTTGAAACAATTTGATGTACATATTTAATATGTAATTAATTATTTTTGTCTGTACATTTCTTGTACATATCATTTGTATATCTTTGTAAGAATTTGTAAGTAAAATGTTTTCTTTTGTCAAATTTTATGAATAGATTTTATAGAACTGTTTTGTAAAGAAAAATCTTTTAATGAATTAAATCTCTTTTTCTTTCTGCCAAATATACATTCTAGCAGGCTAACTTCTTTTTGTTCATTGTACATATTTGTATTTTTTATTTTTTTACTTCTCAGAATACGAACAGTTAGTACAAAACTTCAATCTTTACAGCGGCTAAACCAGGTATATAATTTTCAATTATTGATAGATATAAGAAAATTTTGTAGGTTGTATTTTTGAATTTTTAAACTTTTTATGCAAAAAAAATGTTGTTTTAGGCTTATATCCGGTTTTCAACAAAAATATTTATAGAATAGTAACTTTTTTTTAAAAAGTTTGTATAAGCTTCCACTGTCCATAAATGTTTCCTTCAAAAAATAGTTTGGTTTTTGTGTGATGTTTTGTCTGTGAAAGTGCTACTACATTTGTGATGGACTGTCATAATGCTAGTTAATTGTTACCCGTTGAAAGGTGTCTGCTTTTGATAACATATGTTTTCTACAGCAATCTCAACATATTTGTGTATTTTGTACGAATTTATCACATTTTAGGCCAGTTTTCATTTCATTTACATGTTATTTACAAATCAATTTTGGCATTATATGTCTCATTGTTTGATCGAAAAATAAATCACTAACAAATAATTTTTTGTTCTTTTGTGTATGGGCATTTTTTATAAATACAAATTCTCATTTTGAAAATGAGAAGTTCTTTTGTTAAGATTAATAATAATAAATTTGCTGAATGAAATAAGTGGGAAAGATAAATATGACATATTTGTTATTTTGCTGATTTCAGTATTAAGCAATATGGTATAAGCATGATTTATCTAAGAAATAGCTTATGAAAACATTTTTCACATTTGGATGGGATAACTAAATTTTACTAATTCACTTTTTTAAGGAAAATTTTGAACAAATAAATGAGAAAATCAAAAAGTGATTGTGGTCTTCCAAAAAAATGTGAGCACCTAAGCAAATCAAATTAAAGTTGTTTTCCTTGAATATATTTTGTTCAACTTTTAAATAGATCATTCATAAAATAACATTTTTTTTTAACGGACCTCAGTTTCATTATTATTATACCACAATGTATATTTTTCATAAAAATGTATTTATAACTGCGATAAAAATTAAAGATTTCAGTATTAGTGCTTTAATTGTATGAAATCATGTCCATCTACAAGAGTCCAAAATTGCCATGAATGTCTTTTAGAGGATTTGTAATAAAAATAAGCAGCAAGAGCTCTTTTAAAGAAAAAATCCTAGAACATGTATAATTGATTGTAAGTTTTACTGAAATGTTCAAGACTTATGATTATATTTGTTGTCGTAAGATTTTTTTGGTGAAATGAGTCACTTGTCTTTTGCTAACTAAAATATTATAAATTGATGATCGTTAACAAATTTACTAATTTCATGCTAGTGTCTGGATTGATTTTTAGCTACAAGATCAAATTTATAAAAGGGAGAAATTGAAAATAGTCTTCTTAAGTATAGCTAGATGAAACGGTATAAAAATAAATACATTCTTTGGAAATTAAAAAAATTTCATTTTCAAATTTCAAAACATTAGTATTAATATTTTAAAGATATATTAAATTAAATAAATTGAAATCTTAGTAAATAAAAATAAATTTTGAAAATAATGAAAACAGTGTCTTAATGAAGAATATCAGATTCCTTACAATTTATCATACATGGTATTTTTGGACTTGTTTAATCGTCATATTCATATTTTCCAAAGCTGTGTATAATCTTTACAAGGTTGTAAATTATGATTCTTAGTTGTACGACCTATAATTTTTTAGCTTTTGTTTTTGTTGACAGTTATGAAATCACTTATGCACGGTGATCTTCTGTTGTTGCTGTTTACTTGTTTTTTTGGTGCCCTTTTGTGACAAAAAGAGCAATAAATATCAAATATAAAACTTATTTGTTTATACTTTATTTATTCATAATCCTGGTTTTCAGTTTCAAGTTAAAACATAAATGGGACTCAGAGAAGGCGTTTCAAAATGACAGTTATAAGTAGGTGTCAAATATGCTTTTTATGGTCCGCCACAAAGTGGTCGGATCCATACAGTGTTACCCTTATCCCTCATTCTGTCATTCCGCAACGAACAATTATACAGACTTTTTTCTAATCACCTTCACATATTGAGCTAATTTTTAGTATGTGAGCCTACTATGATGAATGACAGATGGAGTATGGGTTTGGTTCTGCTCTTTGATTTTTGCCAAAATTATGGGCGTTGGAATTTGAAAATTTTGTGAAAATAACAGTTATACAGATTTTTTTTTTATCAAAGCCTTCACATATTGAGCTGATTTTTAGTATGATGAGTTACAGACCTAGTTTACATTTCGTTCCACTCCTCTGAATTGTGCCTTTGGGCTTTTGACTTTGAAAATTTCGTGTAAATATTTGTAATTAGTTAATATTTGTAAATATTCGTGTAACAGTTATACGGACTTTCATTCCCAAATTTCCACTCCTAAAAATTGCTTCAAGCTTTTTTTGCAGGAGGGGCCATTTGTGTTGTTCTGACACATCTAGTTTATTGTAAAACTGTAAACGAATTCTAAAATTGCTTCTTTAGGTGGTTAACCCATTTTCAAAGTGCTTTCCATGGGTACCATGCATTTATTCATTGAATGACCTTAATCATGAAGGCATTCCAAATTCTGATGAATTTCCTGATTTGTTTGAAAATTTCTCCCTGGAGAATATTGAGGCCAAACAGGGGTTATAAATTTTTAGAGTTTAAAATATGCTATAGTCACTTGTTTATTACTGAAGGCTGTATGCTGACCTCAATCAGATGTCATCACCTAACCGTGACCTTATTTTCATGCGCCAGTGTATAGGTTATGTTTTCTGGATATCTATTTCTAAGCTTTTATACATGATAGATCAACAATATTTTGTATGTGACTATTTTACAAAGAGTTGTATCAGTCTCCCACAATTTGTCATATGACCTTGCCTTGACTTAGTTTCGGACTTTCACGGTTTTTGTCTCGCCTGTGACGAAAGTCCCAGAATGCAAGACATAGGGATTACTAACTATTTTAAGAAAGCTATATATTTCAGAAGGTAGAAGACCTGGATGCTTCATACCTTGTATGCAGATGCCTTATGTTATCTAGTTTTTGCATGTCACATGTCCATTGTCCTTGATCTCATTTGCATGGTTCAGCGACTGCTTGAAAATTTTTAGTTATTTGTTATGTGAATAACTCACTTATTATGGATAATAGAATACCTATATTTGGTATATGGGATCTACATGTTCGTCTGACAGGGTTCACCTGACTTTGACCTCATTTCATGGATCAGTGAAAAGGGTTGTTTTTCATGGTCAAGTCTGTATCACAGATACTATAAGCAATAGGTCATTTATATTTGGCGTATTAAATGGTATAGATAATGACTAGTGTAAAACAATTCAAACAGGAAAACCAACGGTCTAATCTATGATAAAAAAAAACGAGAAACGAGAAACACATATGAACCACATCAACAAACCGTATCTCAGATACTATAAGCAGTAGGTCTTTTATATGTGGTGTAATAATCCTGTGTGGGGATACGAGAGGCAAAATATTAGGAGCTCATAAAATTACATCCTTTAATGGCGCTTGCAAAACGAAAAAGAGACAGTACCTGTGACAACAAATGGAAGTTTTTAACGACCTTGACTGGCTATACAGCCCTTGCACGGTCGGCTCGGTGCCCGAAGGCGTTTGGTGAGCGTTTAAATATTTTTGCAGTCGGACAGGAACAGTTGGAATTCGCCATTTTGGTAGGCCGCCATCTTGGATTTGGTGAGTTGTTTTGTTTTTGTTTTGTTGACTATTTTGTTGTTTACTTCACAACGGCTGCTTTCAGGGCCAGGTTGGTCAGCCTGCTTGTCAGCCCGCTAACCACGATGATGGAGTACTGGTCGATGAGTCTCGGACATAGAAATATCGATGACAGGAAGCATTATCAGGACCAAAGTCGTGAGACAGTGAAATGGTGGTCCATCATCTAACACCTAGGATACAGCCCTCGGACGTCACTCGGCATACCACTCCCCCATCCATAATGGGTTTTGGAGTGTATGTTGACGCGGGAATTTGCCCTACGCGGATTATAGCCTAACGTAGTCTGTACAGCGTTGGATTGGTTTCTGTCATCGAAAGTAGTAAGTCGTTGATCCATCTAACAGTAAACCCTCATCGAAGATAGCGGGTAAAGGAGAGCTGACCCAGAACGTCCGTTCAGTTGTAATGACTGAGACGTGACTGATTGAATTGAATGAGTGAGTACCTGTGATTACGATTACATACATGTATATAACAAAATCGTATACGGACTGAACAGTATTTCCGGAAACGCGGATTCAACCCCCTATATATATATTACATCCCCCCGACAAAAGAAAAATGTAAATTTTTCTCAGGGTTGAATTCGCTTTACAATATATATGCACCAACTCATATACCATCTCAAAACACAGCACGAAAAATGACAATTATCTGACGTTGCGAAATCTCAACTTTTGAAAGTTAGTAGTTAAGTTTATTTTTACAGATCCGAAATTGTTTCGTGATACATGTATCATTGAGTAATAAATTCAACAGAGCCCCTAACTCTTACAATATTGTGAAAATGTCCTATAATGATCACATTTCATAAGTTGCAAGTTTCAAAAAAATATATCAACTATCTCTCACAGAATCATGGTGCACCAAACCCATTTACGCACACACACACTCTCATAAAAAATATAAAATTGCTAACAGATAAAACATATCAGAAAGATACAATTCACGGGGTTTATTTTTTAAATTATCTCGATATCACTAACATAGATCCTAGATAATACACTCCTCATAAAAGTTCCAAAAGGACGTTAACTACAGATTTCCGTCTTTATACCATGCAAAAAAAAACCCAAAAAACCAAAAAAAAAAACATTCTCTCTACATTTTCCTTAATTTGCTCGCTAATGAAACTGTATATCACTATCATGTTTCCTTAAAAATCCACTAAATACAAAATGAACCATATTCATACGATCTCATCAACATATTTCAAAAATAGTAAAGATCGATGTTCAATATAAACATACAAAATTCGGCATTCTTCATAGAAAATAATTATTGAATTACAAATCTGAAAACGCAGTACCAACTTTCTGCTATTATGTTACAAAATTAAATAAATCAAATATTAATGACTAGATAATTCAAACTTGATACTTATGTAAATGAAATTGAAATAAAAAATCTACATGTATAAAAATGCACAAGTGTTTAGCATAATGTCATGTATACGCAATATCAACAATCGTTCATTATTTTCATCAGAATAATAGAAAAAAATCAAGCAAACATACCTAATACGAATTGTTCAAGTATTTTAAAAAGATAAGTAATATCAAGATATGCAAAATAAAAAAAAATCTTAAGCAGTTAATAAGCAGTTTCCATGTACATGTATATTATATATGCAAACAAACTAATGTCCGTATATTTAAAAAAAAAAAAAAAAAAAAAAAAAATTCTTATTGAATAACATTGAAATTGGGCTCCGCTCTGTACTGAATTTCATCTGACATCATAGTAACGGATTGTCATGAGATAAATCTCACGGACAAAAACATGAAAAGTTCGCCAGAAAAAGTCGTTGTACCATCATCATAGGGCATTGTCATGAGATAAATCTCACGGACAATAAGTTCAAGAAAAGCATCGCTGTACACAGATTAATAAATTGTCATGAGATAAATCTCACGGACAAAAAGTTCCAGTAAAGCATCACTGTAAACATCCGGGTAACTTGTCATGAGATAAAACTCAAGGACAAAAAGGTTCGAAATAAACATCCTCGTCAAGCATTAAAGTATAAATTGTTCAAATTGGCAATTGTCTGGAATTTTACAACAAAATTCGTTTAATATGTACAATATGAGCATTCCATAAAATTTATCACTGAATAAAACATTAAAAAAAACGGTGTATCATGAGGTAAACCTCACGGACACAAAACGACTCAAAGAATTTGTGGAGGTAGTCGGTGGTTTATCAAATCACGGGTTTTCTTGTCAAAATCGGACTCCTTTAGCCAACGGGCATTTTGAGCCGGTTCTCCAATAAAATGAACTAAATAACTCATTGTTCCGTCCATAATTTTCCTAGCAAGTATTCGTTTAACTTTGTAAAAACGATTTTCATCACTCGAAACAGTTTTGTCTCCTGGATCGGTGAAACTTTCATCTTCAAAACGAGCTGGTTTCTTTTTTAATCGGGTTGATTTCCGGATTGGGGACTGAATACTTTTCCCTTTGCACTTTTTTGTTTGTTCGTCTGTCGCATTGTTTGAATTGTTATTCATCAAAATTTTTCCTGTGTCGTTCTCTGTATCATTTGAATCATTGTCATTTATTTCAGAATGTGACACTGTCGTATTCGATAATTCACTTGTTGCAGAGAAGTCCGATGCAGTATTTTGGTCCGTGGTTGTATTTACATGTATTTTTGTTTCAACTTGATCCATGAAGTATTGTGCAGGATTTGGTTGACGCACGTACGCCGGTTTTATCCGATTAATGTGAATAGAATTCGGAAGGCATTTTTGTGAATCTGGGTCCTTCAAAACTACCATATGAGGACTGTGAATTTTATGAATGATATATGGCCCAGCATAACGGTATTTCAGTTTTTGTCCCTGTCCTGTAGGATTTTTGCTGAGATAAACATAATCATGTTCTGCGTACTGTAGAGGGTTCAAACTGTCATTTACACGTTCCACCATTTTTATTTGAGAAGTTAATGCATATTCTTTCACTTCTGATCGAATTATTTCTAATCTTGCGCACAAATTTTGAACATATTCATGACAATCGTTTGGAAGCGTGTTTATATCCTGTCTAAAATGTCCG